TTTCATTCATGTTGTGTTGTTAGTTGTTACTATCTAGGTAAATATTGATCCTAGCATTTCTAGATGTTATAAGACTTTAGGTTCGTCTAACTCTTGAGTGTGATAGTGTATTTCTCTGTACGATTGTAATTGAGCAATTACGATGGGTGGTCGGTGGTTAGTCCATGGCGTCGCTGAACAGAAGATAGGAGAGAGAGAGAGAGAGAGTGAGAGGGGGATGGAAGCGCGTGAAGAGGTTTTTGTGGTACCTTTGATCAATTGAAGGAAGAGCGTGCTTATAAACTCCCACTCTATCTTCCTTCTTTCGATCTGCAACTGCAAAAAATCCAAGCGAGGGGTTGAGCTTGTGGGACTGCTTTTCCCCAATTATGTTGATTAGGGTTTGGATTTGGAAAATTTCTCACCTTCACTCGCTCCGAATTGTCACTCCTTGAATAGGGATTTGGATAATAATCTCAACTTCGATTCACTAGGAGGAGAGACCGACTGAGAGAGAGATCTCTACAAGAGTGGTTAACCTAAGAGAGTGGAGGAGGAGGAGGATGTTTCGACTATGAGAGGGGGATATGAGAAAGGGTAAATTTTGTTAAAAACATTTAGGTCTTCTGTCATTTGGGTCATATAAATTATTTGAGTAAATCGTCATTTACGGTGACGTTTTGAAAAACGTCACTGTAAATGATATTTTCTTCTCATTTATTTTTTTAACGTCTGTTAGGCGCTGTTTATAAATTCATGTTAAAAAAGAAAAAAAATAATATTTAACTTCAAATCATCATTTAAAATGACGTTTTTATATTTAAAGACATCATTTCAAACGACGTTTTTAAAAAAAAATTGGGTTTAAAAAATAAATTTAAAACTAACTGGATTGAAGAATTAAGATTTGAGGGGGCTGGATTTGGGGAAAACCTCCGAGCAATTATATTGCTAGAATATACTTTCTGTGACTTTTGGTGCGTGTTTGAGCTATATTGCCATATCCATTTTTGGTTAATTAAAAAAAAAAAAAAAAAAAAAAAACTTAGTGCAAGCATTTGCCGAAACCAGATTTAGAGCAAGCATAGACCACCTCACCATAGTGGTTGTAATAGCCTATATAAATGTGAACACATGTAACAATCACAAAGCGGCGTGTGGCAAGATTAAGGATGGACCACGAGTTTTCGTGGCAGGATAAGGTCATCCTCGAAGGGTAAAGACCGCGGTAAATGACTAGTGACTGCCGAAGACATCCAGTAAATGTGGAGGGTACCCAACACTGCAAAAAACGCAAGGCACACCTCCTCCCGCGGAGGTAGTTAAAGGACCTTTCTTAATTAAGAGAGACTTAAGCAACAGGAGCGGACGAATATGATTATCGATCTCGGTCTCGGACAAGACCTCAAAAATTTAGTCTATTTAATAGGCCACCCAATGTTGGCTCATTATTCACTGAGTTGTATTTGATTGAGATCTGAAAGGACTCCAAAGATATAAGGGATTAGTGGTTCAAATAAACATGTGGATTGATGGTTAAAAAATCAAAATTATACGAGAATCCTTGATTAGACATTATAGAAGAGGGCCTCAAAAAAGATTTTTAAGGGAAAACGGGACCATCAAGGTGTGTGTGCACTAGGTGCACCACGGACATGACCTTTTCGTGGTAGCGTATTCGCAATGTCTTAGCCGCTACCCTTCAACCTCAAGTGTTCCCCTTACCTTAGGGAATGTACCCCTTCCTTGAGACTAAGTCTAGATTGTATCCGAGAAGACGTAACACATGTCTATATAATACTTGAGACACTTGACATGTAATGTGCGACCTCTATACAAAAGTAGCCGAGATAGCTGTAGATAAGAACAACTATTGCCTATAACGTGTGTCAACCTTTTTTAACTCTCTACCTGTAATGGCAAACTAGAATATATTGGTGGACACACACTAAGCTGTCTTCACTAGTTTGGAACCATAATATTTCATCAAGAACATGTAACACTTATGTATCACAATAGAGTCATTAAATGGAAAATCAATCTCCAATCATTCAAAAAAGATTTGTTAGGCTGCCGACAACCATGTCACACAAAATGACAAGCAATCTAAAAGTCATCGCTAGATCATGACCTCCCAAACAAAAACAACACAACCATGTTCATAGATGAAGATTGCATGCTAACCTTAGCCAACTTCAGTTATTGCAGCAGACTCAACATGTTATAATGTCCACATAAAATTGTAGCCATATCGATATGTATGTGTATGCATAAACATTAACCACTGTACACATGGTTCGATTGCTAGAGTAGGAGACTTTTAGGAAATGGAAGAGATGTGACTGTAGGTGTCATGAATGTGGTCTCAATCAATAATGGCCAAAATTATTGGTTTAGTTATGTATATTATTATTAACCTATCTACACACAATTGCGTACTAAATTCGACCCAAATATTATTGCTTGGTCTTATACTAACACCCATATCTTAACCAGATTTTTGATATGGAAGAATGCCTTGGGACACCCATAATTTCGATTTAACACTTAGCAACTATCATTCAAAACATAAGCTTTTTTTTTTTTTTTAAGTTCAATGGTCAGGGATGTCCAAACTAGCTTACGCGCACTTCAACTAATCCGCTCTCAAGTTCGGTCAAAGACAGACCATTCATGCCGAGTATTAAAGTATTCATGAGAGATAAATCGCTTGTAGAAGAAGTTAAAAGAATGGATCCAATCACCTACATATATGGACTAGAGAAAGAATCTTAGTCTGCAATATCACCCAATTATGGCAAGTGCCTACGTCAATGATAATGTCAAGTGCGAGTTCAAAAACAGCATTCAAGCTAAACTGACATGAAATAATACTAAAAATAAACATAGAATAAGATGAAGAATGAACTAGATGTATATCAGTATTGTCTGCAGAAAGGTATGGAAAAAACGTGGTCTTGATATCCATAAAACAAAGATAGATGGTAAAATTTGAACTACTTTTATACTATAGGCCTCATTTTTTGGTTCTGTAAAGAGACAGGAATGTTGGAAACTATCTCACGTTGGCTCGGGAAGGAAATAAAATAGGGTTGATGTCCAAAGTTCGGAATAAACCCGTGTTCTTTTGAGGTCAGTTTGAGTAAGTACACTTCATCTGAATATGAGTCTAAAATCTAATAATAAGATGAGTGCGCTTGCAAGACTCATTGACAGTGATAAATCCTATATAAAGCAAGAAGTCCATGAAGAAAGCAGGTGGTTTTTGGGGCTAACTCAGCCTTAAACATTCACAAACAATCAGTCGAATACTTGTCATTACAACTATAGATATACCTATGGGCACAATCAACCTATTATCAGTGACTAATTATTTGCAAAAATCACTTTATTTTGATCAATTCTCAAATGGGTGCCATTCATGCAACTTAAAAAATATAAATAATCAATCCTACAAATGAACCTAAATGATTAGAAGTGCAAATTGATCATTTTTTTGGTCAAACTGTTAGTTTCTTACCCCACTAGAAAAATCCCTTAAAGGGGGCAACAGACAGTTCCTTAATTAGCATATATCCTCCATATCATTTGCTATATCCTAAGGCCATATGCACATAAAATCATGAACACTTTCCACGTTATCATGTAAGGGTTGTGGAACTTTCTCTGTTAAAGCAAACTAATTATAGGAAAATCTACAAGGGATTCACCAATCTCATCTAATCATACGCATGTCGGCCAGATTGATTAAGAAGAATAATTGCCCCATTTTCTCACAAGCTTATCCCCCCCCTCCCCCCCCGAAAAAAAAAAAAAAACTGACCCTATAAACTTATATTTGCATGTGTCTAATAACCCAATAGTCTATATCGGGTTTGACTCTCTTNCCCCCCCCGAAAAAAAAAAAAAACTGACCCTATAAACTTATATTTGCATGTGTCTAATAACCCAATAGTCTATATCGGGTTTGACTCTCTTTTAATTTCTAAATAATTTGAGATCCTCCAATTCTTTGTGTATGATGAAAATTTATTCATATCAACAAGAATTGAAAGATTCTCCAATTATTTGACAATTGGAGGGGAGCCTAACCAGTCTAATATTTTAGTAACTGGCATCAATTAAGGAAAATTGATCTAGAATTTGTCCTTTTCAATTAATAATGTGTAGATCTAGCTAGATTTGTTTTTGATTGAAAACCTACAGATTCCACCAATCAGGGCTCTTGTGAGTGTAATTTCACTTTCTCAAAGGTTTCTTCTTGGTGGGGAACATTTGATACTGATATTGACGTATTACGGTACAATAATGGATATTAACTTCCAGAGTAAACGAGATTACAGTTTTCAACCAAAGAAGTCTAACTTTCATTTTCAAAGGACCTCCAAAATCTTAAGGAAATTACATTGTCTGCCAATTTCTTAATCTCTTTCACTTCAGTTGACATGACATCACCAAGGAATTAACCTCCCATTAATCTTTTTTTTTTCTTTTTAACCACCCATTAATCAACTGGTCATATTGTGGGCAATGCTTAATAGCACTTCAAGTTGAAGAATATTAATGATGAAGTAGGGATTAGAGGTAGAAAGGAAGGAAATACATAATACAAAAAATATGTGTGATTCAGCATATAATCTCCACATCTACAGATCAAATGTCCAATAGGCAACACCCAACTAAGAAATATATATAAGATAATTTTTAATATCATTCTTGCCCATCATCTATAATTAATGATAAATCTCTTTCGATCCTACCGTATCAAAAATGCCCAAGCTCAAGAATACCAGCCTAAAAACACTTCTAACAAAATTTTATTTTTGCCGTTTTCTTTTACATATTAATTCTCAAAACATAGACAGTAAAAAGCTGTAAAAGTGAGGAAACAAAAAACAAAAAACCCCGAAGAGAGAAGTCAGAGAGAGGGAGACTTGTAGAAATCTATCAACAGACAAAGTAGCTAGATCGCTAGATATTGATCTGGCAATAAATAACCCCCTAAGTTCTCAACATGATGACTATGAACTGAACTGCAAAAAAACTTAAAAGAGTTTGGAGAAAAGAAATGGTCAAAGAATTGGAAACCACAGAGCTGATTTTGGAAGATATTGCACCGATGCTCAGTCCCACATGACTGCAAGTACATTTACTCCTGCAACTTTTAGTACAACCACACTACTAGTCTATAACTTCTACTAATACTGTTTGTATCAAAAGCAGAATAAACCTGCTCTAGATCCAAGCACTGCTTCTCTGGTAGCAAACAGAATACCCAGAATAGTTTTATAGTTGCAACAATTGAGTAAAACAACTTAACCATATCTGCATAATAATTAAAGTAACTTGGATGAAAATAAAGAAAGTAACAAGAACCAACATAAAGATTATAGGAGTAGAGGCTTCGAAGATCAATCCGAGTGTTACAACAATCGCTGAATGACTTACCTAGCCATCGACGAAATAAAGTAGTCGTCTGGTCAAAGCGATTAGAGACAGAGTAAACTTTTGTTGATCCATTTATGCAATAGACTGCCGTATTAACTTGCACCAGGTGGTGGAAGTGCAGGCAATGGCTGTGGTGGGCGCTTCCGCTTCTTCTTCTCATAGCTAATCCCTCTAGCTTTCGACTGCAAATCACGAACCTCACGAAGATAGAGTCTCACAGCTCGAGCCCCAAATGGGTTTGCTTCAGGTTTCCCACCGTTCTCTTCAAAGGCGGCTCTGAGGCGTCCGATGAGCGCATCAAGGCTTCCCCACGCTTGTCGAAGTGGGCATGGACACGGAGCTGGCGGGTTTGGGTGTCCGTAAAAGGGACATATAGGGGTGTGCACTTTGGTCTTGCCAAATTGGTCGAGGTATCGGAGGAATTCGAGGACATGGGCACCGCTGCACCGCGAAAGTGAGAGCGGTGGCCGGTGGTTTTTCAGGTATTGGCCGAAGGTGTTCCAGTCCCGGCGCTTCTGGTTCTCGTATCGGCTTGGTGTTGAAGAAGATGAAGTGGCTCCAGTTGAACTGTTGTTGCCCACACTTGTGTTCTCGGAGTAAGAACTCTCTATGTGATCTGGGATTGAGTCCATGAAAAGGGTTATCTTGGTTTTTTATTTCTTTTTTATTGCTTCGTTCCTCTTGGACCTTTTCAATGAAAATTGGTATTTGTGGGTTGTGGTGTATTCTTCTTGCTTTTGGTCTTCCACTTCAGCTTTTTCTAGGGTTTCCTTTCCTTGTAATAGCAGTAGGGCTAGCTGTGTTAAAAAGAGAGCAAAAGGAAGAAAGAACAGATTGTACTGACAAAGCACACACACTGTCACACACACAAACACACAGAGAATTGAAAAGAGGATGCACCTGAGTTCTCACAAAATGTTGCAGCAGATGATGAACTGGTTGTTGACAGGAGAACTATCAGAGGCAAGGAAAAGAGGGAAAAGATAGGGAAAAGTAAAGAAAATTTTCCATATTTGTGATGAAGACTTTAATAAGAGTTTGACAGAGACAGAGAGAGGGAGAGATGGAGAGAGAATAGCACCTAAGAAGAAGAGTTTTATGTTCAAAAACGTGATGAGTGGGTGATGAGACTGATGGGAGGGTGAGAAGACTCTGTTCTGGGGTCTTTAGAGGTTGTTTGTTTGAGCAAATACTAGAAAAATCTTTGAAGAATGTAATGCTAGTGGAGTTCTAGCCATTTCTAAAATTGTTGAAGTGATTGATTTTTTCCTAAAATAGGGAAAGCATCGGACTTCTCATTTGGGTACTCAGCTATTGTTATTCTTTGGGTGTGTCTGCGTGAAGAGGTGTGCCATGTCTGTAGGGTTGTGTGTGTTTGTGTGGGAGGTGGGTGAGAGAGGGAGGAACTGAGTTAGGGATTCTGTGGAACAATAATGGAAGGGTATTTGCTGAGATGGGGACAAGAAAATTTGAAGGTGGAGAAATTATTGAAAGACAATTAATGCTATTTAAATTTAAAATTTTAAATTTATTTATCGATTTAATAACATATTTTTATTCTAATAGTCACATTAATATCAATTTTTAACCGGACTCACAATTAACTTAAAGATTATAATGAATTAAGTTAATAAATTATATCAATGAATTAGATCCAAATTTCTTATCTACTCTTTTGATTGACAGTTCAATGTTTAATGTCCAATATACCCTTGTCCCAGAGATTCCAAAGGTTATCCATTACAATATTAGTTTTAAATCTTCTTTTATGCAAAAAAAACCATTAATAGAGCATCTTTATTATTACGTCAACACTTCCTCAATTCAATCTATTGTGCTGAGTATGCAATTAGGTACTAGATGCTTGATGTGGCATATTCATCAAAAACCTCTGCAGACTATGGTATCATAGAAATTCTTGGTGAATTTTTGGATACCATGAAAAAATTCACAGGAATCTTATGTGCAAATTGTACCGTTTGTCCTTGAGGTTTGTCACCTCTTGTTCCTTAAAATTTTGATTTCATCAATTTTGTCGTCCATGTTAACAAATTAACTTATTTTGGTCTTTACCTCTAGTTATCGTCTAAAAAAGTGATGGAAAACCAATACATGTTCATATGAGTGCTATTAAGGGTAGTTATCTCATTATTCAATACACCCCTATATCCAAATATCTTTATTCCAAGTTTAGAAAACATTAATCATGTACCCAAACACACTTTTGCTCTCTAGCTTTATGCTCTGACTTCTCTCCAAGTTTAGAAAACATTAAGCATGTACCCAAACACACTTTTTCTCAGTAGAAGAATTTATGCTTTGAATTCTCTCTAGCTTTCTCTCACTAAAAAAACGACAAAGGAGAAGAAAGAAACCAGAGGCTTCAACGATCACAACCAATCTTCACCCTGAAAGTTAGGATTTGATAAGAATGGAAGATGACCCACGAGAAAGGCAAAAAATTTTTGAAGTAGAGGAGGATCACCTTGAAAGAAGTACCAAGAAGGTTAAGGAACACCATAGGAATCTGGAGGAAGATGAAATGCCGAAAGACATAAGTGCTTCACCATCTCACGAGTTTCCAGAGCTGGTAATGCAGGAAAAAACTCTCTACTGAATGAAAGAAACCACTAAGGAACTACAAAGAAACGTTCATGGATAAGGACAATGCTATATATTTTGAAGCAAAAAACTACGAAGATGAACCAAAAGAGATGGAGGAAGAAAATCAAGAAGGGTCACAAGGAAAAGGGAAGAGTCACACAACGATTGATACATCGGATGAAACGTGCCCAAGCATTAACCTTCCTCCCAAAATGCTTCAGAGAATCAGACGTAAGTGGAAGGAGGGACTACTGGTAAATCTTATGGGGAAAAACATTAGATACAAGGTGTTGTGTATGAAGGTAAGAGATTTATGGAATCTCCAAGGAGACTTTGAAGCAATCGATCTTGATAATGGATTCTTCTTGTTCAATTTTCATATGAGGGATGACTTCCACATAGTCTTCACTAGTGGACCTTGGATCATCATGAACCACTACCTTACAGTTAGGAAATGGGAGCCAAATTTCATACCATCAAGAGCCACAGAAATTGCTATAGCACTCTAGCTAAGACTACCGGAGTTGCCTCTAGAATACTACGATGAAGTAATCCTATTCCAAATTGCAAAAGCCCTAGGGAAACCAATCAAAATGGATATCAAAACTACTACTACGGAGAGAGGGAGGTTCACTAGGTTATGCGTGGAGAGAGATCTAAACAAACCACTCATCTCCCATTATCAACTAGAGGGGAGGTTGTTTAGGGTTGGATACTAATGCATCCACTCCATCTGCTTCGTCTGCGAGAGAATTGGCCATAAGGAGTTCTATTGCCCCTATCCCATTGAAAAAAAGCCACAAGCTACCGTTGATGACCATCGATGATCAACATCAAACCCTCACATCATAGAGCCTGCAATCCCTGGCATAGAAGAACGGTCAACTGCAAAGCTGAATGTTGCGCCTCAACCCCAAGAAGGAGACAAGGACTTTGGGCCTTGGATGATAGCCCAACCCAACAGAAAAAGAATCCAACAGTAGAAAAAAGTAACGGTCGAAGCAATGTAGCAAACCTAAATAAATACAAGGCCTTAGAACTCATGTCTACTGATCCATACAAGTACCAAATCCAAACCCAAGGCCCCAACCAAAACAAATCAAAACCCAGAGGGAAAGAAGAGGAAATCCAACCTAGTAGAGGCTCAAGAACAGGACAGAGAAGGCAACGAGACCAAGTAACACAAAAGGAAACAGCCCAATGGAGAGCCCAGTCATCTGACCCCTCGAGTTTAGTGCAGAGATCTAATGATAGACAGAAAGCTTCGATAGAAACAACCAATCCAAGGGTTCAAAATCCTCCAGGAAACCTTATGGAACCTATGTATGGAGCAAACTCTCGTCTTCCAGACTATCCACCCCTATCTTTTTCACAAGGTACGGACTTACTAGATGTACCCAAGAAAACCATATTGACAGACATCCACAAGAAACCAAAACCCCCCAATCCAGACCCTCTCAATCTCACTCAGAATGAAGCCAATCCCTCTAAGATACTTCAATCTGATCAACAACACCATGGATCTAATATTCAGAGCGAGAGAGGAAAGGAAGTGGTTAGCTACTACCAATTGGGAAATCAGGGAGATCCTATTGAAGATCGAACTTTGCTCTCTCAGAACCTTGACCGACAAACTAACAATAGTCTCCATAATGCCAATAGTCCCCCTCATCGAGAAGAGAAATCAAGCCAGGATGGTTCTGGGTATCAATGATGAAGTTCCCCTCCCTTCTCTTTTATTGAATCATTCTATGAAGATTTTGACATGGAACTACAGAGGAGCTGGTACTGAGAGGTTTTGAAGGGCCTTTGGAGATCTTTTTAGAGCACATAACCCGGATATAGTGGCTCTTATGGAAACTAAGATTCATAGTTCCTAGATGGGGAACTTTTCTACTCAATTCGAACTCACAATGTCAGAAAAAGTGGAACCACAAGAGAAGGAGGTATCTGGCTCCTATGGGACGCTTCCGATGTCACGATCCATATCTAGGAAGCTACAGTTCAAGCCATACATGCTCATATAACACATATCAATTTTAATGAGTGGCTTCTATCTGTGGTTTACGAAAGTCCAAACCCAACGAACATAGAACTCTTATGGGATAATCTTAGTAGCTCTTGTGGCAATTATAACCATTCCTGGTTGGTGGCAAGAGATTTAAATGACTACGCAAGCCAATCAGAGAGAAGAGGCAGAAGTTCTGATCAAAGAAACAGGACTAGAAAATTCAATGATAGAATTAATAGGTGCAGTTTAATTGATCTTGGATGTAGCGGACCAAGATTGATGTGGAACAACAAACGAAAAGGAATGGCTAACACAAAAATTAGACTCGATCGCGCGTTGGTTAATGTGATCTAGACGCAACAGTTCCCAGAAGCAACATTCTGAAATCTACTAAGAACGTACTTAGACAACTGCCCTCTCCTCATCCAAAAAAAAGGTAATCCCTCATACTCTCCTATTCATAGACCTTTTAGGCTTGAGGCAATGTGGTTTACTAAACCAGATTTTTGAAATGTTGTTAATTCTTGGAACCAAGCCAACCAGAAGTTTACTCTTGATGGTGCAGACAAACGTGGGTGAACAAAGTGCGCGAGACCAAAGGTGAATTTAGGCTGCCAACCTCATAATGACAGTATTGAAGTGTTTCTTAGGGGGTAGGAGAATTTACACAGTGGGAATATAGTGGTTCACCGGCTCTGGAGCTCGGCTAATCCACTCTTTAATGGAGGCTCTTCCTCATTTTTTTTTCTATTGATTACTCGAATGTATTACCGTACAATGCATGATCTAATTAGGATTTTTCTAGGGTCCTCTCTCTCGATGAGGCGTTTCATAGCATTTATAAGGTTGTTCTCTATTCTGTGGGATTTCAGCTGAGATCTTTGCCAATTATTCATGGGATCCTCCTTGATTTTAGAAAAGAATCTTGGTTGGTTGAGAGTTTCATGCATTGGACTCTATTTTCACATTCCTCCAATTATTTTCTGGTCGGTTCTGCTACGATCTCCCCAAGGGGAGCTCTACCCTTGGTTCTCTGAATTCTCCGTGTCGTTCCTGACCTCTTTTTCTGACCTCATAGCTAGGGCTCATTTGAGGTATCATCAGTTGTCCCCCAGCCCCTGGTTCAAGCAGGCTTGGGCAAGGCTTGGGCTATTTTTTAAATCGATCTGGATCTACACGTGGCTGACCTTGGCTTGCATGTGAGTGAGGCCTTTTTGACAGTTTTCAGCAATCATAACTTCCTCGTTTCCCGTGCACATTCCAGCCCACGTCTCTCAAGTTTTAAATGCTCAAATGGCTATCTAAACCGCCCTTTTCCACTGTTCAACTTCTCTGCTGCTTCTTTCTTCGTGTGATTTCCTGGCTTTCTGGTTTGGAGTTTTCTAATTCTTCGTNGTTTTAAATGCTCAAATGGCTA